TGTGGCCGAGCTCATCGCTTTGGCATAGCTGACAGCTAGTTAGTGTGCGTCAAAACTTACACAGCTGATTGGACATACTCTTCCGCCAACCCTATTCCGCCCTTCCAGTATCGTGACCTTAACGCCCTGCTTCAGCAGCAAATCCGCACATCTCAATCCAGCGACACCAGCGCCCACAACGCAAACATGCGGTATCTTGCCCGCCGCCCTCCGTATCATGTTCGCCTCGTCCATGTAGCCGTGATTGTGTGGCGAAGTAGACAGGTCTTTCGATATTCGAGTCTGCCTCTCAGGCGTTGTTCTATCAATCGCGATGTCAGCCCTGCGAACTGCATTCTCGTTGCCAATGTTGCCCATGCCGATGGTGCGCGATCAAAGATGATAAGACGATTGTATTGAGGAGGGATAAAATGGGCCAAAATAACGCGATTCGGAGTAGCCAAGGGAATCTTCACAAGCAAGGCTGCCAAATCAGTTCCAGCGCAACGTTGTTCCGAGAATGAAAGTACAATGTGGTTGCCGCGCTAGTGGCAACGCGAAGATCGTGCTGCAGAGTGTATTATGCTGGCTGCAAACCGATAGAACTAGAGAGAAGATAGGGAGAAAGTTTGGAAGAGGTGTTTTTGTTGGCGAGAAGGCTACTATAGAAAAGGTAGACTGGGTGGCACAGTACCTTTAAGCGCGGATAGCCGTTCACGTACCTTGGGATCTTGTCCAGGCTGCAAGAGGAAGCGGCTCGTCAAAATCGGTCTTGTGACGGTCTCAAAAGCCAATACGTTGTCTAAGCAATGCCAACGTGATGCTATTATGTTGGAAGTGAGGCGTGTGATAAGATCGCTGTTGTACGCTGTCATGCACGTCAGATCGCGAACGGCAGGCGCGACGCTAACTTTAGTTAGTGCCACGAGGCCAAACCAGGCACATGATTGGACGAAATGGAAGATAAACTTGAGCTCAACGCTGTAGATTTCTATCCGAAGGGTACACTACGAGTATTGTCCTCGTACGTGGTGGCATATCATTGCCGTGGTATCATATCTCATCCATCATCCATTAAGATCATCCATTCCTCCGCCCTGCCCCTATTTGTCCTTGGAGCCGATGTGAAGCTTGTTCTTCATCTTCTCCTTCAAGTGCGACATCTTTCCACCCTTCTCCTCGCCGCTTGGGGATGTAGTCAAATCGGCAGACTCGGACTTGCGACCTGAATGCTCTCTAGTCATACCTGCGGCACCGTCAGTACTACCCTGACTTTGTCCGGGTTCCCGTGTCCACAAACCAGAGGCAGCGTTCTGTTTGGCAGCAGCCGCTTCGAAGTTGCTGCTGTCAGAAGGAACGCCTGTTGATGTCCACTCTGGAGTGTCGCGGTTCGCAGAGGCCTTCTCGGCATCAGTCTTAGTGTCGGTATCAGCGCCACCCGCGTATGTGCTTGAAGCACCGGTTACAGAGTCGGGAGCAGTGGTCTTGATGGCGGGATCAGGGCTGGTAGTTGTGGTTGCCGTGGAACTAGGAGCCGCAGGAGTAACATCGCTGGGACCAGTAGGACCAGCACCTGGCGCACCTGAACGACTGATGTCGTCAAGTGGGGTGTCCTTCCAAAGCTTATCCGTTACTCCAGCCTTGTCCGTGATGCCAGTGGCCTGGGTTGTAGAGGAGGTAGCGCCAGTGTTTGACGTAGCAGCGTCGGGGTTGAGGGGGACGATGGGCATGCCAATGTAGGACGGGTCCTTGCTATCCGAGTAGATCTTGGGGTCGGTCGATGTTTCGGTCATGGTCTCGGTCGGTCCCTTGGTGGTAGGGTCGAGCTTCAGGAACTCATCTGTGCCAGAGGTCTTCTCGGCTGCCTTCTCGGTCGCCTTGGCTGTGCGATACGTCAGTATTCTGTTCTACTAGCCGTCATTGTCGTATACTTACCATCGTTGCCCTGGTCAAAGGGCTCTGTTACAGTCCCCTTACCGAGCTCTCCAGAAACTGGCTCTTTGCCCGCAGTCTCGTTGTTCGAGTAGTCGAGGAAAGTTCCCTTATCAGCCGTCGCTAGAGGGGTCGCTATCAAGCGGGGTCAGCATACGTCGTCCAATGCGCGCGTTGGAGGGGACTCACCAAGATTGCCCTGGTCGTAGGGCTGAGTGACAGTGCCCTGACCCTGCTCACCGGAGATAGGCTCCTTGCCGGCAGTTTCGTTGTTCTTGGTCTGGTCGACTGCCTCGTCCGCCTTGGTCTGGTCGCCGTAGATAAGCTTGGAGGCTGCGCCAGCAGCATTGCTTGCGAGGTTGGTGATGGTCTCCATTCTGACTGTGTTTTACAAAGGTCAATTGTAAGAGTAGAGAGGATGAAGTGGGGGAAACTGGGTATCGCGAGTATGCGCGGAGTCAAAGAGTCCGTGTTGGCGCGTTATGAAGGCAGGCACGCGGGCAGTGACGTAGGTTCCTGCCGTGCCTGCGTTTGTCCCTGTTCTACCCAGGATTAAGCCACAGCCAACATCAACACCAACGGGACAATCTACAGCGAGTGACGATGTGGGGCTCATTTCAACCGTATACCTTGATTTAACCTCAATCAAGCTCGACAATGCCGCCAACATACCAATCAATCTCATGCACTGCAGCGGCCCGGAGCAGCGTCCAGGCGCTTCCAATGGCTGGCGTGTGCGGGTATCTGGCTTTAGGTCAAGGCGTACCACCCTAGATCTTGAGCTTCGTAATTGTGATCAGCTTGCTGCCCATGCTGGAAACTCGAATCTCGGCCGCGCGGTTTGAAAGCGACGCGGCTGGGTTGACGTCATAGTTAACCGCAAACATGTCAAACATAGGTCTTGGCGCGTTTTCGTGTGTGCCGCGATCATGGCCGGCGCCCTTCACATGCAACTCTCTACGCAAGAGTTTCGACGTTTCCACATTGAAGACACACATTTCAGCATGAATAGACGAACTGCCAGCTGACATCGCAATCTTGCCCCCCATTGTAGTTCTGTCCTGCTAATCTTCCGTTTCAAATAGACCCTGAACGACCATTCCATCCGTCCACTCAATCTCCTCCATCTGCTCTGAGCGAACCGAGTCCCCGCCTCCATCAGGCATATCGAAATGGAAAACAGTAACGCATCTCAATCTATCAACTGCGCATGGCCACTGGTCGGACTGCTCGCGCAAGATCTTGTCTGTAACCCATAGCTCGGGCACGCCTGCCTCGAAACGCACCGGAACATCGCCGCGCACCACCGCCTTTATAACGTCGACGAAGTCATCGGCTATAGGAGTCATCCTCTGCATGGTCCCCCGGCGTATCAGTTCTTCAGCGCCGTCCTGCCACATTGCAGCCTGTCGCATGGCATTGCAGAGAAGCTCACTGGCTCTCTCGTTAGGGCCATGTAAGACCAAGGAGAAAGAACCCATTGGCAGGTCCATAATCCATGGCATACTTGCTTCGTGTATCCACGTTGCAACATCCCAGAGACAGCGCTCGACACCGTAGGAACGTTCGCGATTAGGAATAAGCACAGTCCCCCAGATGTCGACGCGTCGCTCTATCCGAAGTCTAGGATTCTCGAGCAAATATGGAACAAGTCCGCGTGCGTGGGTCTGGGAGATTCCTAAGCTCGCGTAATCTTCCTGGATAACAATTTTGCGCACTTGGGCGCGCTTTTTGGGTGTAAGGCGCTCAAGGAATTGAATGGCTGCTGCCGCTGCCGAGAAGTATCTTTTGAATCTCTTGATGCGACCATTATGGCGAGTCCCGAGTTCTGGTGCTGGTGGAACATATTTCGCGACCTCATTAAAGTCCTTTTTCTCCGGAATCCACCAATGCGTGGGCCTCCACTCGATAATCTGGTATAGGGTGTCTCTCGTGTATACTGATGGCCGAGAGCGACTTCCACCCTGGTCGTTGTCGTTGTCATTATCCTCGTCCTCGGATTCGTCCTCGTCATCCGTAACCGGGTCACAGTCCAATGGAGCACTCGTCTTGGCGGATGGATCGTACTCTCCAAGAACGAGGCGCTCGAACGCTGGATGCGTGGCGATGATCTGAATGAGATCTTGAAGTATAGCATCTTTGACGAGATAATCCAATCTAGACGCATGGTAAAGGCGGCCTTCCTTCAGGCCCGCTCTACCCTCCCTGATAATCGTTTTCTCTAGCTCTTCCACTGCCGTGTTACCTGGATATCTCGAGCGCAGCTCTCTCAAGGCTTCTCGTGTGACAAGGGGATATGCATATGACAACATGATCCGGAGACACGTGTTGCGCCCGTCCAGGAGACTGCGGTAGAGAAAGGCTGCAGAGCTTGAAGTCTCAGTGCCAGGTATCTGCGGAAGGACGCTGAATCGGATCGTATTCGATTCAAACGCCAAACCGTCTATCTCTTGTGCCACCCTTTTGCAGGTGTAGATCAACGCGACATCGATCTTTTCTCCGTTGGCGAGCCGAAACTTCTGGGCCGATGGATCGTAGATATAACCTTGCTCTTGATGTGTGTAGTACTCATAGATTCTATCCCGCAGCTCTCGTGGCAGCTGGAAGAGAAGAGACTGATGTTGATTGTTCATGCTGGGTCCGTCACTATGACGAAGAGGGTCTGCGATGTTGGAAGTCTGCATTGAGAGCATGAAGGCAAGCGAGCGGTATCTCAAAGGCCTCCGAATCATGTTGAAGCGCTATCATTCGGGCAGGGTGAAGGTTTTTGTGTGAGGAAACGCGCAAGTTGGTAGGTGCCAGACTGATCAAGGGCGCCGCGGAGGATGTGAGGGTGGCGGCGTAGCTTCATTCCGTTGAGCATGCACAGTACGACTCATGTAGCAGGTCATTGGCTCGTTCGGTATGATAGCCGAACTTGTAACCGGCGGATTGTTCCCAGGTTGTCAGGTTACTGTCACAACATTATTGCATTACATAGTCTACATGTCATTTTGTCTCTGCTAAGGGATGGTCTACCCGCCAACACTAGTCCCACACTACAGCGACTCCTCCCCGGCCAAATGTCTCCACCCGTTTATCCTGTCCGCTTAAACCTCCCTCTCCTTGTACGCTTCACGCGCAGCGTGCCACCCACCCTCCGGCTCCTCGAAATCCCGAAGACGAAAGACATCGCTGACCTTGCTGGGCCATTCTCCCACATGCTCGCTTAGAATCTTCTCAATGTCCCATACTTCATCCATCTCTGCATCGAACCTCGCTGGTATCTCCCCGCGCAGCATCTCCTTGATCACGTCCGCGAAGTCTTCGGTGATACCTTGAAAGGGGTAGAACCGACGCTGCTCTCGCCGAGCAAGTTCAACAGTGCCCTCTAGCCATATCGCTGCTCTGGTGATGGCATCGCTGAGTTGCTGGCTTGCTGCTTCGGATGGACCGTGGAGGACCAATGTGAAGCAGTCGGCAGGCATACCCATTTGATACAAGATCTTGACTTCGTTGGTCCACGTTCCAATCATGATTACTATCTCATGTGTATGATGCTCGAAATAGTTGCTCCTGTACACGAACTCGGTAGGCCAGATATCAACCCTACGCTCTATTCGGACTTTGGGGTTTGCCTGACAGAATGAGATCAGGCCCTGCGCGTGTGTTATCGATGACGCTACACTTGGATGGTCCTCCTGGATGACGATCCTTCGTAGTTGTTCGCGGGCCTTTGGAGCAAGTCCTTCGAGAAAGCGAACCCCTACTGCTGCAGCAGAAAAGTACATATCGGGTACGTATTCGTGGTCAGGAACTGGATCATCAATTGTTGTGGGCCATGGAGGTAAGAATTCTGAGATCGCTTCGAGCTCGGCACGGTTGGGTATCGACCATAGTTGCGGCCTCCATTGTAATATGTCTGTTTGCGTCTCTCTCGAATATGAAGGTGGTCTCTTGATCCGAAATGCACCCAGGAGAGAATCATCGCTATCGCTGTCATCATCGCTGTCTTCATCGCTGTCTTCATCGCTGTCGTCATCGCTGTCGTCATCGCTATCTTCATCGCTGTCGCTATCGTTCTCGCTATCATAGTCGTCTTCGCTTCTCGTCGCCTTTCGCAATTCCAGGTCGTACTCTTTCGAGATGAGGTGGTAGAAATCGGGGTGAGTTGCCATGAGCTTTATGAGGTCTACTAGAATACAGTTGTCGCTGTTGTAATTGTCCAGAGACCACACGTTAAACAAGTAGCCACCTCGCAATTGCGAGTCATTCCCCTCTTGAGCTTTCTCTAGTATCCTTTGTGCCGCGAAGCTGTTCGGGTAGAGTGATTTTACGGTAAGCATGACTTCCACCGAGACGATAGTATGTGCCCACTTCAACATGTGTCGTAGCCGCACTTGGTGAGAAAGGATAAGCTGCTCATACCAGGAAGCATTAGAGGGTTGGCCTGTGATCTTTGGCAAACTGAGCAGCGTGCGAAACTCTACGCTATTCTTTCTGAGCGCCATTCCATTCATCTCCTTCGTCACTCGTTTGCACGTGTAGCTTAGTGCAAGCTCGATTGGATTTCCAGTGGGCAAGCGAAGCTTTTGGGTTGATGGCTCGAAGATGTACCCGTCTTCGTGGGTGTAGTAGTCGTATATCTCATCTCGCAACTCTCGCGGGAGACGAAAGAGAGGTGACTGATGTTGATCCAATACGCGCTGGGGGCTTTTGTCCGTTGCCATGGCTGCCAGGAGTGTTGTCGATTCTGAGAGTCAGTGTCGAAGAGACCTCGAGATGTAAAGCGAAGACAGGCCTCGCGAATTGTGTGGATAGTATTTGGAATTTCAGTAATCGGATGAGCTGCAAAGTGCAAAGTTGGGATCTTTTGACATGGCGAAAGCGCGTAGAAAGTTGGTACAGACTAGACTACTTGGGTAGGTAAGGGCGCTGCCAAGGGCGTAAGGGCGAAGGCGCACCGGAAACCTCTGGGCCATAGAGTCGATGCATTTGTCTTCCCCGAAGATGCTATTAGGTGATTGAGACAAGGGTTTGTTCTTCGCGCGCTCATAAGGATGACGTTGGCGAGATCGTAGTCCATTGCTGGTGGTGGTACACGACGAAGAGATTCAGAAGAAGAAAGCAGCTCAGATGGGTGATATATCGAATTTTAAATACTAGGATACTCGAATACAGCGATCAAGATGCCACAAGCTCATCAATGCGAATGACATTCCTGGCAATCAACCTCTTTGTTCATGCTCCCTTTAAACAGCTCGGCCATTTCACCCACCAAGTCTGTCTACTCAACATCATCCTGTAACACGAGCAGTTCAAACCCTTCCAATTGATCCATCCGGTTGAACTCCACCTCGCTCCTGTCCTTCCACACTCCAAAACGCTCTTCTCGTGCTAGTGTCCATCCTTCCTGTGGCTCTTCCAGATCGCGAATCCGTAGAACAGCTTCGAACCACACAGGCCAATCAGCGGTATCTTGTGCCAAGAGTTCTTGTATATCCCAAACTTCGCCCATATCCGCTTCGAACGTAACCGGGATCTCGCCTCTGATCATAGCTTTGATGATCTCTACAAAGCCTCCACCTACATTGTCGGGGAAGTAATCGGGGAATGTGGTTGCTGCCAATATTGTAGAGCCTTCATCCCAAGTTGCGACCTTGACAACAGCATCAAAAATCTGTTGACTTGTTCGAGGCGAAGGGCCGTGCATGGTCAGATTGAAGGAGCCTGCCGGCATTCCGAGAGAGGCGAGGGTTTTCGCTTCGCTGATCCAGGCTCCAATTTCTCTCATCAGGCCGTCTGCTCCACAGTCGTAGATCTCGATGTTACCGTACTCCATGATCATTACGCGCCAGATATCGACCTTCCTTTCGATTTTGATCTGGCTATTGGCAATGCAGAATGGGATAAGGCCTCTTGCATGGTTTGTAGGGTTCGGCCTGCTGCACTCGTCTTCCAGAACAATGATGTTGCGAATTTGCTTGAGAGTCGATCCATTGAGACGTCCGAGGAATTGGGTGGCTGCCGCAGCAGCGGAGAAGTAAGATCGATTTCCTCCTCTTATGTGGATCGCGCTGAAAGGCCCACATTCCTCGTCCTTGGGTATGAATTCGGACAGCTCATCAAGATCGGCGCGGGTGGGAATCCACCACTCATCGGGTTCCCACTCAAGGACTCGCAGCTGCTGTGTCTTCGAGGTGTATTCAGTAGCGCGACTTTCGATGTCGAATCCTCCCGCTCTTGGGGCGTAGATTTCCCTCAGCCCAAGATCGAACTCACTTGCGGTCATGAGCCAGAACTCGGGATCAGCGGACATGATATCTAACAGATCTCGGAGGATATCCAAAGCTTGAGTTGAGTGCGGATTGTAATCAATGGGAATCGTGTTGTCGGCGGACCATAGGGTGCCGGATCGCATGCTGCTGCTTAATTCACCTGTTCGCTGGGTTCCGCACATCTTCCTGACCGTCGTGTTTCCTGGCCAGCGCTCGCACAGCTTTTCCATAACCTCGGAAGTGACCAGAGGATCTGACCATTCGAGCATTCGCCGGAGTATCGCGTCTCTCCCGCACAGAAGATAGTATTCGCAAATCTCAGAGTCCGTGAGCTGATCGGAAACACTGGGAAGATCGAGCGTCGTACGGAAGGTTATTGTGTTGGTTCTCAAGGCGATACCATCCATCTCTGCAAAGGTCCTTCTGCAGGCATATTGGAGGCCGAGATTAATGCGCTCGCCACTGTCCATTCGAAGTTTCCCAGAGTTAGATTCGTAGTGATAGCCGTTGGTCTCTTGGACGTAATACTCGTATATTTCATCTCGTAGCTCTCGTGGAAGGCGGAAGAGAAGAGACTGGTGCTGCTCAAGTGCATTCCGTGGTATCGCGTCCGTCGCCATGATCGCGAGGGTGCTCAAGGACGAAGCGCTTGTGGTGAAGGTTCGATGATGAGATACGGGAGCGGCGTCGCAACGGCTTCGAATAGGTGTCGAATTGTGGTGGTCTGGGATACCAAAGACTTTTTAGATGAGGAAACGCGAAAGTCGGTACCAGTCATACTAGTCACAAGGGCGCAGCGGCGGAGGCGTACCATGGTACCTCGAACCCCAAGAGCGGTATGACGAATGCCAAATTTTTTGAGTCGTAACGGGATTTGTAGTGAAAAGACTGCAGCCTTCCATTCGTTCTGTCTAGTCCTCCTCTTCAAGTGACAATTCGTGTCCAGCATGCCTAGTGGCAGTCTTCACATATACGTCTTCGCTGAGTGCAGGCCATTCGCCAACATGGTCGTCCAGGAGCTGGTTGATATCCCATACATGTCCCATATCGGCTTCAACTCTTGCAGGAAGCTCGCCTGTAACCATCTTCTTAACACCATCCGCAAAGCCTCTACGCATCGGGTAGACGACATAATCGGAGCTGGGACCTAATCTATGCTCGAGTACAGTGCAGCCCTCGTCCCAAATGGCAAGCTTGATGAGAAGGTCGCTCAGCCGTTGGCTCGCTCGAGGTGTGGGCCCGTGAAGAACCAAGCGGAAGGAATCGGGTGGCATCCCAAGCCTCTTGAGGAACTTGGTTTCAACGAACCAGGGCCCAATTTCCTCGATTCCGTCTTCTAAACCCATGCGCTCGGACAAGTAGTGCTGGTGAAATACGTCGACTCTCCTCTCGATCCTAAGCTTGAGGTTCTCGCAGCAGAAAGGGATAAGGCCTCTAGCGTGAGTTTGCCTATGTGCCTCGCTTATTTCGTTTTCCTGGATGATAATATTGCGTAGATGCGTCCGAGTGGCTGGTGGCAAGCGCTCTAAGAATCGAATAGTCACCGCGGTAGCCGAATAGTACGTGTCATCCAGATACCACCCTCGGTCAAAGTCCTCTACTATTGCAGGAGGCCGTGGAAGAAATTCGAAGATCGTGTCAAACTCAGCGCGATCCGGCATTCGCCATGGGTCCGGGCGCCATGCAAGCATCAACGCCTGAATCGTCTGATTTGGGTACTCCAAATCTTCGTGTACAATCCTACCGTCTGTGCAAAGTCAGAGAACAGCTCAATTTGACTAGCCGAAGCATGCCTACTGTCGTTGTCTTCAGACTCTCTGGTATACTCTTTGGAAGTCAACCGCCAGAACTCTGGGTGGGTGGATAGGATTTGCAACAAGTCTTGTAGTAGAGTTGTGTGCGCTGTATAGTCTATACTCCAAACTACGCCTTCATTAAACAGTGTCCCGGGGCTGAGCCAGTGAATCCTGTCGCCCATCCTGATGAACGCTTTCTCGATCTGCTCCGCCGCGGTACTATCTGGGTGCAGCTCTCGTAGGCGTTGTATAGCTTCGAGCGTAACCAGAGTATAGGACCACTCGAACATACGTCGGAGAGGTCGTTCTCGTTCACAGAGAAGATGATTCCATAAAAGCGCGTTCGAGCATTCGCTGTCAGGTTCGGGTACTTCGAGCTTTGTACGGAATGTAACCCTGTTCACCTGCAGAGCCAGACCCTCCATCTCGGTCGCAGTCTTCTTGCAAGTGTACTGCAAACTTAAATTGATCGGACGTCCGCTAGCCTGTCGAAGCTTGTCAGACGTGGCATCGTGGTGGTAACCGTCTTCCTCAAGGACATAGTAGTGGTAGATCTCATCGCGCAACTCCCGCGGGAGACGGAAGAAGAGGGATTTGTTTTGTTCGTTCATTTTGGTGAGGCGGTGTTGGTGTTTCGAAGCGTCGCGATGAGGAGGGCGGACAGGTGGTGAAAAGACGTCCAAGCGTATGTCTAGTGGCTGTCGTGCGCTGTCGAAGTGTCGACCGGTAAAGTTTAATCGATGAGCAGTACAAGCGGACGAATTTTAGTGTGTTTCGTAGCAAGAATTTCCCGAAAACTTTAGATGATAACCGTAGCAATCCCGCTCGCGCAAATTCACCGTTGGTGATGTTGGCTGCGAAGAGTTGAAATTACAGTAGTATGGTAGGCGGAGGGCGCGCGCACATTGAAGGGCGACATCACCAAAGAACACGCCTTTCATCTCCATTTTCATCTCGCCCTTGGCAGGAGACGGGAACTGTACGCGCATACAAGATATACATAATGGTTGAGCGTGCGAAGAAGTTTGAGGAGCGGTGGTTGGGTGTTCGGGAAGTGAGGCGGGCAGTTTGCCGGCGGCAGGCGGCAGTCAGGTTTCAACCACCCAACTGCAACCGTCCAACGAGGAAGTAACGAGCGCGCGGTTTTGACAGTGACAGCAACGGTTATCGTCACATAATGGTGCAATCGATCGCTTCATCGACGTTCAAACTTTGCCGCCGATTCCATCTGCCTTCCAGAACGAGGTGAAACAAACAGTAAACTTTACTCAGGGCTCTGCGCAATGTGTTGTAACACGGCCTCTTCAGCTTACACCCAAACTAAGTTACGATTGCAATCAATCATCTTAGGATGACAGGTTTCAGCAAAATGACGCGAACCTTAGATCCCACTCCCGTAGTAAGACAGAACCGAGTTTAATAACGACGTACGCTTCATAAAGTCATTGTCCCGCCGCCATGGGCTAGGCGATGTATCTCAACAAAGACGCTATTGCTTTGACATCATGCTCACAACGACAATCGACGGTAGCGACTTTGAAATGATTTTCTTAGGACGCGGACATTCTTCACACGCTAGTGAGGGTAACAATGTGTGCTCTTTGGAGCAGGATGAAGGCAGTGAATGTCTCGACCTCTTTCGGACCCTTTCTACCGTGATTTTGGGTCAGCAGATGTGCAATCGGACCAAAACAAGGCATCTGAGCCTTCATTCATCTATCAGTTCAGTCCAGCATTGCGACCTCGGGCGAACAAAGGTACTTACACTCTACACTCCCAGCTTAATGCTACTTTCCACCTCAGACCCTCCACCCCCGCAGTCATGGAGGCCACAACCCACCAGCTGTCAACATACCCTCACCTCATCCCCCTGGCTTCTTCAGAGACTAACTACCATCGCCGGCAGCCTAAGATCCGGAGTATGTCTGACGTTGACATACAACGACTCCGCCGCTCTGACAGCTTCATGAATCACAACTACCTTATCAACACCACACCCACGAGGCCTCGCCGCACAATCTCTGGATCAACTACCCCAGAATCCAAATACAGGCCACACCACAGGAAAGGCGAGCTACGATACGACTTCAGATTCGGCAACGGCTTCGAGCCAAAAGAAGACGCACGCCGCAAACATGCTCGACATAGACGGGATCGAAGCAGCGTCTTCACTGTCGCAAGCGCACACACACTATGCTCGATACCTTCCGAGCCACCAACCCCCACATCGCCTTCGCAATCTTTTCTAGACTTATACTCACCCTCTCTCCCTCCTTCACCAAGCAAGGCTTCAAATTCGGCTTACGCGACAGCATCGCACTGCACCCTGACGCCCCTGGAACTACAAGACTGCATAACCCACGGTCGTTATTGCCGCATTAAGACATTCCTACTCGACCTTCTCCACCTCGATCTCAAATCCTCGTCTTCTGCCTCTACCCCGAGGACCTCGATGAGGACGAGCTGCAGTCACAAGTTCCACCATGGACGGTGCAAGAGGTGCGATTTACCCGAAGCTATACTCCCGTACATTGATGGCGGATTGCTAACATCGGGTTTCCATTGCAGGGATTTTGGATGTGAAGAATGTAGTGATGAGCATATGTCAGTCCAGGAAGAAGACTGGGTGGAGCGAACACCATCACCGTTGGATATCTCGGATGAAGCACCACAGATTGATGTAAGTCTTTCTATACCCTCCTCTCTTTTCCTCAGGGTATCACTAACATATCTCTGCTATAGCCAATCGCTTTCATCCCCATCTCCACCACCCGACCCCATCCTCTTGATACCGGCAGCGACTCCGCATCTACATCGACACCCAGCTCTCACTCCAGCTTCTCTTTCTCTCCATCCCTTTTCGAATCCACGCCACTCCCCCAAGACACACCAACGAGCCCCTCACCGTCAACAAGTCCAATAAACTACTCCCTCCCCATCCCTTACTACCGACCGTCCCGCCCAACTAGTCCAGCAACACCATCCCGTGCCCGCGTCCCATCTGGCTTCACCGGCTTCACCAGATACATATCTCCAAGAAGCTCCGAAATCAAACTCAGCACCTCAGTCATAGGCGAGAATATCCCCGCAACCGCCGTAGCAATGCTGCAAGCCTCGCCGACTACCATCCACATCCGGCAACCTCTTTCAAGGCCTGGCACTGCTATTCAGACTACTCCATCACCATCACCTTTATCCACTCCAGTAACTGAGATTGGAGACCCACTCGCGGATACACCGACGCCCACTCTCTTCATCCGAAGTTCGCACTCACGGCCTTCCCCATCACCATCGCCTCTATCCACACCGGTGACTGAAATCGAAAACCCCCTTTCAGATATCACACCCCAACCCTCGCCCACGACAACTGTTATCCGTCATTCACCATCACCCACAACAACACCAACAACCGAAATCGAGAACCCTCTTTCATGTATCGACGACTTCCCCCTTTCCACCCACTCCTCCCTCCCCACCACCACCACTAGTCCGCCCTCCTCCCCCGACTCCCGCACAACAATCCTCCTCCTCCACCGCGCCCTCTCCACCTCAACCACCACCAGCCAAACAGACACGCACCTAATCCGGACCGCACGCCTCGTCCTCGGCCTCGCCGTGCAAAGCGCCGCTGGGCGCATCCCAGCCGACATTGCGGAAAAGGTGTCTGCGCAGCTGTTTCCGGAGGAGGGGCAGGAAGTCATGGGTAAAGAGGAGTTTGAGGCGTTTGTCAAGGGAAGTGTGGAGAGGGGCGAGGTTAGTGTGGTTAGGGGAGCGCAGATATTGGAGTTGGTTGGGGCGAGTATTAGTTGGGTGGGGGATGGGGATGAGGATGAGGATGAGGATGAGGATGAGGGCGTGTAGAGTCGAGGTATTGTGATTGATTCGAGGCGTCTGGCTGGGGAGAGTTAGTTTTTGTTGTTTTGGGAATACCCGGCGTTTATGCTATTTGAGATACCATTAGAAAGTGGGCGCTGGACGCGAAGATACTTTAGACACTTAACAAGAATTTATAATCATGTTAATATTGAATCGCTAGACCTCCTTCATGACTCGAAGTCGCGCATTTATTCCTCCCAGGACGCCTTATATGATATCTTGATCCGTTCCCAAAACATACTGTTAATCATCGCACCTCCTCATTCTCTGCTCATGCAGTCTAAGACTCTTAACATGGCTCGCTGACAAGTGGTCTAGGATAGCGTCGTTCTACTCGTCCTCCATGCCTTCCAGTAGCGTATGCTCGAGAACGTCACTTAGCGTCACCATGCCCTTGAGCTTGCTATTTTCATCGATGACGACGAAGCGGTGGACGCGCGATCTGCGGATCGTGTCGTAGAGGGTGGACATGTTGTCGTTGAGCGAACAGGTGAAGATGCCGGGAAAGTCCTGGACGTTGTCAGAAGACTGTAAATAATGAGGATGTGGAGACGTACGTCTGAGCGCTTTAGTAGCGCGTCGCCGACTGTGAGGTTCAGGTCGTCGTATACACCGCCCTTGATAAGTGCAATGACGTCGACGGCTTCGAAGACGTTCAGCACGGTACCTATGGATATTAGCCAAGTTTGCCGTAATCCAACATTGCCACCTACCGGCTCTGTCCAAAATGGGCACACTAGATATGCTCTTCTTAACAAGCATGTGGATGACGTCCATGACCGGTGTGTCCATCGATGCAGTCGCGAGATCCTCGTATGTACCGACATTAAGCTCCTTCAGCGGCTTTCGCAGCTTCTGTGTCTCCTTGACGTTCACAGCGATGAATTTCAATATGCGGTATTGAGTGATGACGCTAACGACCATGGTTCTACGTGTCTCGTCATCGCTGTCGACAATGGGGATACGCCGCGCGCGCGATTCGAGCATCTTGCGGCATGCTTCGTATACGGGTCGGTCGGGGTGGATGGATATGGTTTCTATGGGTTTGACGCCCAGAGATCTCTCAATGTCTGTCTGTGTGAGCTTGTGTTCGGCATGCGAAGCCGAGCGCTTACCTCGCAGACTGTTCAGGCGGAACTGGTCGACCCGCGCCAAAGCGTCTGGGTTCTGCCAGTAGTACTGTATGACGTTTATATAGTCCGACGTCGTGAGGAGTCCGGCAAAGGTAGATGACTTGGAATCCCATAGCGGCGCTGAGACGATACCTACATTCAACGTCAGCTCGTGCTTCTATACACCATGTCCGAGCTCACCATTCTGGTTCAGTATGTTCAGACTCTTCTTCACCAGCAGCGCCGTGTCGAAGACGATCAGGCGATAGCTTATAGGAAGCACATCGTAGCTCGTTCTGGCCTTGAGGAAAGCTCTGATGGTTCTCTAGCTCTTGTCAGCTACCGCAGCGACTGTCGGCGATCCAGACTTCATACCAGGCCGTCCAGTTGCTCGCGGTCAACAGCTGAAAGTTGGCGCGGCTGCTCTTTCGGGGGTAGAGGCGCTCGGGACTGTTGGAGCAGGTCCCTCGGCGTCACAAAGGCGGGTCGCGCATCGCTCGGGAGGGCGTTGGTCGTAGAGTCTGCCGTGTCGACGCCCGACATGATTATCGCGTTGCTCCTCGGAGCCGCATGAGCGTGACTCCAGTGATCCAAGCTTCGGGGGTAGATACAGCGGGAATGGGGGCTAGTAGACGCAGGATTTCTTGAATGCGGTGAAAGTCGGTGCAGGTAAAGGCCCCACGATCGTCATTAGCGCATCGTGGACCTGGAATGTCAATGCGCAAACACGCGGGGCAAACATGCGTAGCTTACAGCAGACAGCAAACATATACGTGTGACAAGCTCGTCTTTACTTGCTTTGCTTTGATTACATTGAAGCGCTCAGTTCTGAGATACGGCTAACCTTAGGGAATGCACCCGAAAGAAACCTGGTCCCAAAGGATCCTCAGGTACGCTAGAAATCATACACTGCCGCCATCTGTCCATGAACATTGCACGCCGCCTGCCCTTCCAAGATATTCCCCCATTCATAGTATCCATATGCCAAGTCGTGACCCATCCACACTATGCGTCGTGTTTCCTGGCTGCCTTTGCGGCGTCCAAGTTGAGCTCAGGACCGGGCTCAGCCTCGGCCTCCTCCATAATAATTTCCTGTGCCGCTGCTTCGACCGGTATCTCAGGCTCGCCAATTGACTTCTTCGCTTGTGCTACGATGGCATCTGCCTCGGTGATTCCGCCCTTCATGGTCGACTGGTCACCGTCCACACCCATCGCGGCGTCGTTTTTGCGCTGCCGAAGAGCCTTGTTGTCGAAGCGAACAACCATACAGGAGAGGTTGTCGGTCGAAAAGCGTGCGAGGGCGTAGTCGACGAGCTTCTTGGAGGCTTCTTGCGGATCGTGAACTTGGCGGACTAGGTCGACGGCTTCCTGGTCGGAACAGACATCCCAGAGCTATAGCTGTTAGCAAATGTCATGAATTTGTGACTGCATTACTTACACCATCGCAAGCGAGAATGAGAAACTCGTCCTGCTCGGCCTGAATCACAGTCTCGGTGGTGTACGGGTGTCCGGTGACCAAGTCCTTCATATAGGCATCGCCCAGTGCTCGTGTGACAGCAAGGACGCCGTTAACGCGGTTGTTGAGAATCAAGCCGCCGGCACTAGCAACACGGCGTCCCTCGTTCTCGTCGCTGCCCTTGTGGTCGTAGGAGAGGCGCAGCGCTCGGCCATTGCGGCAGAGGACAATACGCGCATCACCTACGTTGGCGGTGTACAGCACGCGCTGTCGGCTGGCCTCGTTGCGTAATCTCGCCTCGACTTGCTGTTCAGCTGCGGGCTCCACAGCGGAATCGGTAGCCTCGCCGCCTTCGCCTGCATGCTTGATAGCCGATACAGCCGCGGGTGCAAAGAGCACTGAGCCGGTGGACGATTGCGCATTAGGTACTCGGTCCTCCCACCTCAGAACTGCAATGACCGCGGTACAACCACTGTTCTTCAAAGGAAGCTTCTCCAACTGCTGGTCGACGACGGTGAAGGTCTGATCGAGCAGCTCGGGTATCGGGGTGTTGGGGTTCTTCCGGATTGTCTCTTCCAGGATCAGGTGAAGCTTCTTTCCACACCAGTCGGCAGCGAAGGTTCCGGCGTGTCCGTCGAAGATGGCGAAGTATCCGTTGTCCGTCTCAACTACGGCTTGCGACAGAGGGTCAGACTGAGTGGAGCTGGCGTCGGAGATGGCGCGGGCCTTGTCGGCGGCATACGAGGGCGCTGGGGTGCTCAAGAAGTTGTACAGGTATGCGTGGGTATCCTCCATCGTTCGTCTGCACTTCTTGTTCTTATCCTCTGTGACACCGACGCGGAAGGTAGATCGTGGGCCGGGCGCCGACTCGCCAGCCGAGTTGTTGAGGGAGCCCTGGGGGACACTGAGGGCAGCATCCGACTTGCCGAGCTTCTGCATGGGCGTCTGAGGGGCGGCCTTTTCGGTCATGGTGTTGTTGGTCGTGTTGGTGGGAGAAGAGCCGCCTAGGTGCAGCGACTGTTTCGCGCTCGAGAACATGTCGCGGGCACGCGATACGCCACTACTCCGTCGTTTTCTCTCGGTGGGGGCGGAAGCGTCACTGAGCTTGCGATCTATGGAAGCGGAGCCGTTGCTGGTTGTGTTTGTCGGTGCAGCAGCTGCGTTGTCCGCCGCTGGGGCTGCGGGTTTGGGCGCGTCATGGTTGGCAGGGGTGTCGACGGCGGGACTCTCGTCGTCCTTTGCATTGCCAAACATTTTCGAGAGCAAGCCTCCCTGGGCGCTCCGACGCCTGTTACCTGCCAGCTTGGAGGATGGCGCTGGCGTTTGGTGACTGGGTAGTGGCGGCGATGCAGATGGGGCGGCCGAGGCGGCGGCGGATTCGCGGATGAGATAAGCGGGGCTCGAGGGACAAGAATGTAGGAAAGATGTAGACGGATGCAAGGGGAGGAGTCGTGGGAGTCGTCGGTGCTAGGTGTAATGACGTCGAGGGTGTATGGCGGGGCGAGCAGCCGGAAATATCAATTGGCGCAAGAGAAGGCTTGACACTGCGAAAAGATGACAAGGCGCGGGCACGTTCCAGGGTTGAGATTGGACGATCGTCGAGATAGCGTGGGCGGATAGGTAGTGAGTTGCAGGCAGCGTGCGCAATGGGAACCCGACTGCTTGTTGTGGAAGTGCGGGGATCAATTGCGCAGGTACTCGACTCACGAAGGCGACCCCGCTAGGTACTGCGCGGGTGTGAATGGAGGCGACGGCGCAGGCCAAATACACGGTCCTGTGACTCTGCTATATCAACCAAGGCTAGCATAACCAAAGCAAATCCAGGGTTTTGGGCTGCGGATCAGCACGATCTAGGCTCGCGCGCATGCAGACCGGCGCGTACTGTGGAGCCGGCTTGAATTGACTAACATGTCTATGTACAACCGCCGGCCATGACTATCCCGCAACATGAACAGCGGAAATTTGAGATCTTCAGATCTTCATACGCATATTGCACTGTCTCTTGACGTGATCAAGAAAGAACCTCTATTCAAGCCGTCGGCCTGATATCTATGCATGCTGACACCGAGCCAAGAATGCTGCGCGGGCATGGCGAAGTTGCTTCTGGTACTAGCCCTTCACCTCACCTTCTCAGGCTGTCCAAGCGTGCCTGGAGGTCGTCGTCATCAGGGTCAGCTCCGCCGCCGCCAACAGCCTGCGCCACCCTAGCTTCAGGTACTGCGTTCTTCTGCAGTCCGCTGGGCGTCTCGCCAAGCTATGCGACGTTAGCGATTGCGGTCTTGGTAGTGAGAGAGTACTCACAGCCTGGCCAAGATCGATGCCTATCTCATCCAAGACCTGGTTGACGACGTCTTCGCTCTCTTCTTCGTCTTCCATGCCAGTGGCATCATCGATAGCGTCGTCCATCATCTCCTGCCGCTGGTCCATGATGTCGTTCTCCTTCTCAAACTCCATGGCAATGCGTTGGAGCGCCGGCAGGTTCATCTGCCTGTTCATGCTTCCGAGCAGTGCTGCGCATGTTAGACTAGTCTAGCGAAAAGTTGTAGATGTACTCACTTGTCGCGCCCTTCATAGACTGCATCATCTGCTCGTTACTGCGTACGGTCTGCTCGCATTAGCCATGTCCGTTTCTAGTAGGCATACGCCATACCTGTATCCTGAGCGAAATCGCCTGCAGTTGTGTGCGCATCTGGTAGAACTTCTGGATGTATCTTGCGTACGTTAGCCATGTCCTATCAGCAATGCGACAGCGACTCAGCATACCGCCGTGTGCGCACCAGGTCCTTTGCCTGGATGCGCAGAGGCCCCATCTGCCCATTCTTTGCGCTCTTCTTGATGTCTGCGACTAGCTTCTTCTCCTGGTTCTCAAGCTTCACGCGCTCGCGGTCTAGCTCTCGCTGCGTCTTCTCGAGTGCGCGCTGGTGTTTCCGCAACCGTTCCGCCGGCGTCATGCGCTTTCCGAAGGCCCATTCTACGATCTTGCAGGTTTTTCAGCATGGGCTATGTAGAAGAGTAGGTATACATACGTTCATGGTTGCGACTGGATTGGGCGAGGTTTGTGGAGGATCCTGGGGTAGACTTGGAGATGTGGGTGCGGCGGGCAGCGCGATACGACCGACCACTTCGTTCAGATTACAAGACTAGAGGAAGAGACCAGCTCTGAATTGGCGAGTGTTTGTACGGGAGGAGGGCAGAGACGTCAAGTTGCAAAAGTGGCTGCCTTGCCCGATTATGTCATTTGATGTTCGGCCGGGTTGAGGCGTGGAGGGCAAGATACGCAGACGCAGGTATGGCGATGCCGAGCCTCGAGGGAATTATCTACCACTTGCCCACATGTACGCAAGCGCAATTCTAGTACACCAATCCACCCAAGCAATTCACGCATTAAACAGCGCCCAGCCAGACGTGCAAAGGTTGACGTGAAATAGCTGCACACGTGTATGCCGCGGCAGTGCCCTGGTGGGCGTGTAGCTGTCACGACAGCCAATCCCTGCTTGGGTGCGAGGTGGCGTGTGCACACCAACTCTGACGTTGTCTCAGCATATTCTTTCTCGACACCGCCTCTCTCCACAACATCACACCCGCCCCTCCGCATCTATCACGACATGCGCCCCTCCTCATAGCGCAACCACCCGAACCACCTCGATGAATCCCGATCGACGCAACGGCCGCCCCTCCTCGCCCGGCGAGTCCTCCAGCAGCGGCCGCCGTGGCCAATCCGACGACTTCGTCCCGCGCCGGAATGCTGGACCCGGATACATGACGGTCGGCGGCGGCAGCACCACGAGCGACGCCGCCGCCCGCCTCGTCTCCATGCTCGACGAGGACTCTGGCTACGGCGGAAGTATGCAAGACGGCGAAGGCAGCGGCATGAATTGGCGGTCTAACATTGGCGAAGACAGGCCATCACCGATGCTGTCTGCCGGGTCAGGGAACGCCGAACACGAGCGCCAGCGCAGCCATGTCCTGCAACTGCGCTACAACCAGAACAAGAACGCCCTCGGCCGCGCAATTGCTGGCACCATCGAGACGCTCAAGAGTTTCCAAGAGATGAACCTGAAATGGCCGGCCCACTACCCCTCGGTCCAGGTGGCTGAAAAGCAAAAAGCACATCTCCGCAACGAATCACGGCCCGGCCTGCAGCACACACAGTCGGCCATGGGCAACTTCGACCCCGACATGCGCTCCCCCGAACGACCGCGAGGACCCCGCCGAGCGGGCACGACGATTGGAGACGACTTCGGCGAATCGAGCTCAGCCGCCGAACAGAAACGCAAGGAGGAGCCCAGACTGGTCACGCCGCAGCTGGCCCACGACTTCTCCGTCCTGAAGTTGGAACTGCGCATGGGAGGCCGGAACCAGACAGACCTGGTACACTCGCTCGAGAAGAACTCGGTTGCCTCTCTCCTCGACGGACAGATCCAGCAGAGCATACGCCACCTTTTCTCTCTCAAAGAGCGTATCGAGGACACATCGAGCAAGGTCCTGGTCACCGGCGATCTCAACGCCGGAAAGTCAACCTTCTGCAACGCCCTCCTCCGACGCAAGGTCCTTCCCGAAGACCAGCAGCCCTGCACAAGCATATTCTGCGAGGTGCTTGACTTCAGAGAGAACGGCGGAGTAGAAGAGGTCCACGCGATTCCCATCGGCTCGACATACAACCGCAACGACGAGAGCACCTATGTTGTATTCGACTTGAAGGACCTTGAGAAGATCGTCATCGACAACGACCACTTCTCACAATGCAAGATCTACGTCAAGGACATCCGGGACGTAGACGAATCTCTCCTCAACAACGGAGTCGTCGACATCGCTCTCATTGACGCCCCGGGTCTGAACGCCGACTCTCTCAAGACAACCGCCGTTTTCGCTCGCCAAGAAGAGATTGACGTTGTCGTCTTCGTCGTTTCTGCCGCCAACCACTTCACCGAGTCCGCCAAGAACTTCATCTTCACCGCTGCGCGAGAGAAGGCATACATGTTTATGGTGGTCAACGGCTTCGACACCATCCGCGATCAGAACCGTTGCCAGGAAATGATCCTGAAGCAAGTCGCCAATCTCAGTCCCGCCACATTCAAGGAGTCCAGCGAACTGGTGCATTTCGTCTCCAGTAACGCCATTCCCATGGGTGGAGGAGGGAGCCCCCCGGATGACGACGGCGACGACGACCCCTCTGACAAAGGAAAGGGCAAGGAAGCAGAGAAGCAGCGCGACTTTGCTGATCTCGAGGCCTCGTTGCGACGTTTCGTATTGGAGAAGAGGGCGCGATCCAAGCTGGCACCCGCCAAGACCTATCTCCTCAACGTGCTAGGAGACATGAACAACCTTGCCACTGTCAACCGAGATGTCTCTCAGAGCGAACTGGATCGTGTCACCAAGGAGATCCAGGCTCTCGAGCCCGAGTTCGAAGAGTCAAAGAAGTCACGGACAGAGGCCGGAGAGGCAGTTGATCGTATGGTCGAAGACACAACATCAGACGTCTATGGCCACACCCGGGACACGCTCAACAACTCTATCGCTAGGGTGGCAGAGCAGGATCTTGGCATCGAATACCCTGGCCTCTTCTCAGCCTACCAGTACGCCGAGGATATCAGAGACTCCATGCTCCACGAGATCACCGAAGCGGTTCGCTTGTGCGAAGAACATGCACGAACCCAAGCGGTACAAGGCTACAATGGCATTAAGAACTTGGGTGTTTTACATCTTGGCAACAACCTGTATGCCGATGTCATGTTCCGCCCAGAGAGGATGTTCAGGAAGTCAGTGCACGCTCTCGCCCGCCAGGTGGACATCGACATCGACCTATGGGACTTCTTCGATGTCGCCAGCCTGTGGGAGCGACAAGAAAAGGCTGCCGGTGCCGGTATGGCTATGACTGTTGCCGGTGTAGTAGGTGGCAGGTTGGTCGGCGGCGTCGGCTGGCTAGACGGTGCCCTTGGTGCTGCAAAGGTCATGGGTACGAGCAACATGAGGAGACTGATCATTCCCGGTCTCATCGCTGGTGGTAAGCACATCCTTTCGCTGTCATTTGATTTATACTAACGTCTCTAGTTGCTCTCGGAGTATCATACGTCCTGGCTTCCGTGCCCAAGTCGCTACCTCACCGCCTCAGCGCAAAGCTATCTCAGCAGCTCTCAGCGATTGACTACACACACTCTAACGCCCTTCGCATCAGCTCCGAGGTTCGCCGTGCACTCAAGGGCCCTGCCAACGATGTCCGCATCGGCCTGCAGAGGAACGTCGAGAAGCTCCAG